TCTGAGGCTGTAAATCTTTACGGGAGCAGAAAGCCTCATCTTTCTCCCACAGAACAGCTGGTAGTTTCGAACTGCTGACCTTGAAGCTAACAGCCCGATTCATAAGCACTGTGCTACCAGAGTGTTAATTTGGTCTTTTAACACCATTTAAAAATCTAGTGAATACAAAATTAATTCTACTTTTCTTAGCATATTTCTTTGATTTTAGCTTTTAGAACTGATAGTTGTTTTTAAGTGCCGTTGAGTCGGTTCCAACTTGGCAACCCTATACAGGGTTTCCAAGGAACAGCTGGTGAGTTTGAACCACCAACCTTGTGGCTCAAACCCGACCTTGCGGTCACCCAGAACATTAAACCTGCAGTCCCACACCATTTCAGTGAGTTGAATTTACAGACCCGTGTAACTGACTTCACCTGCGAGCAAGTGACAGGACATTCCCACATCCTAAACGTTCTTTTATGTCCCTTCCCAATCCATTCCTGTGACCCCACATCCGCATGTCCTTAGGTGACCACTGATAGGTTTAAAGAAGCCGAGGTGACTCAGTGGATAAATGCTCCACTACTAACTGACGGGAGGAGGGTTTGGACCTCCCAGTGGGTCCCCTAGAGACAGATGAGGCCGTCAGCTTCCCTAAAGATCACAGCCTTGGAAACCCAATGGAGCAGCTGTCCACTGTTCTCCAGGGTCACTGTGGGCTGGACTTGACTCAAAAGCAGATTGGTTTGCTAACTGTGGTTTAGATCTGTCTTTTCTAGAGTCTCAGGGACATGGAACCGTGGGGTCCAGACTCTTCCTGCTCCTGGCGTCTTTCTTTTGCCTGTATCACTTCTCTACTTCTGCTCCTGAGTAATGTCATTGGATGGACAGCCCTTTGTTTATCCATGCACCCTGGGTGGCTGCATTCTGTGGTTGTAGGAATAGTCCCAACACCATTGAAAACACGACAGAGCAAATAGTGTTCATGAGCCTGCCACCCAAATGTTCTTGTCAGTTTTTCATATTTGTTCTCAATTTTCAGATGCATCCTACTTTAAAAAAAACATAGTTACCAAACAAACATTTTTTGCATAAAGCTATGACAAATGTGATGTCATATGCTTCTGTTGTTTTTAAGTCATGGGAGCTCCCTGTGTACAGAGCTGTACTTTGAAGGGGGTTTTCTGAGGCTGTGAGAAAGTACATTGCAGGCCTGTTTCCCAAAGTACCTCTGGGTGGGCTAGAACCTCCAACCTTCTAGTTCATAGTCAAGCACTTGCACTATCCAAGGATTCCTGTTTCTTTATGATATTACGTTCTTTTAAAAGGACGCAGTGTTCTAACAAGTTTATGTACTTTATTTGACTTGTCACAGAGTTAGAATCTCTCTCTCTCTGTCTCTTTTCTCTCTGGCTCTTCTCAGGATAACGTTGCAGTGAATATTTTATAAATAAAACATTTCTTTTCCTTCTTTTGAGGTTTTTCTTGAGACAATTACCCACTGTTGAAGTTATTGGAGATTAAATTGAAGACTTCTGTTTTCCATTTGTGTTGGATGGGGAATGTTTCTAGGCTTTAGATTTGGCGGTCTGACTTAGTTTGATTCAACTCTGAGAATGTTAGTTAATGTCTCTGGACATGCGTAGTTTGTATTTCCTAAGATACTAAAATGATAAGGTCATTTTCTTATATGATCTAGCCCAGTCACCTAATCATGTTTTCCCAGAAAGATTCCTCTAATTCATAGTACCATCAATTAGTACATAATTGTACCCATTTCACCCATCTTCAGGTTTATCATGCAGAAATTTTTTTGCTAAATTCAGATCAGGACGCTCATATATACTCTACTTTGCACCTCTTTGAGGAACACATTTTTCTGTGGCTTTCCATTTCCTGTGAGAATTGCCTATTTTTATTCTTCTCATGTGTATCTTTAAGTGGCGCTATTATTAATCTTTCCCCTTTAATTTTTAAAAATGCTTCCCTGTCTTCTTGTCTGCCATTTTTTTTTTTTTCATAACTTTGTTGTTTTTACTTTGTAAAGAAACGAGACTTTTCACATATGAAAATAGCCAATTGTTTCTCTTAAGGGTTTCTCTTCAAAGCCCTGGTATGGTGCTGTGGGTTAATGCGCTAGACTGCAAAGTCAGTTTGAACTGCAAGGTCGGTGGTTCAAGCTCACTAGTCGCTCCTTGGAAACCCTCTAGAGGGTTGCTATGGGTCAGAACTGACTCGACATCTCTTAACAACAACAACTTGAAAGCCCACAGTGGTTTCCTCCTTCGCTGGCTCCGATGCAGTGACGTGGGGCCCTTGTTCGCACATTTGCAGCAGTAACACCAGCCCCTCTGTCCTCGGAGGTTTTATTGGTTATCTTTCTTCCTTACAGAAATCCCAACAGAAAAATGAGCAGATCTTACATGTCAGTCAGAAAACACCAGGCTTGAGTTGTGTAGCTACTTGTCATTGTTTATGTTTATTTTCCCCCAAACTTTATGATGGTAACTTCCTTTCACTAGCCAGAGGGAAAGTCCACAGGCCAAGATAAGACCTTAACAAACCCTTTGGAGAAATTAAAAACAGATGTGTTGAACATCTGGGGAAGACAGATCCAAGTCTCTTCGGATTCCCTATCAGCTTGGTTGATAAAAGGATGAAAAACTGTGATCAAGAAAGTTCCAGAAAGAGGATTTTAATCCACCTATCTGCACACCCTGGTGTGATTTGTAAGACTAGCACTGGACGGCCCACCGAAAGGTTGCCAGTTCTAACCTATCAGCCACTGCTCAGAAACCCTACACAGGGTCACTCTGAGTCAGAAATGATTCGACAGCAACAATATCATATGGGGCCAAAGTTTTACAGTCAAGAGTGTATTATGAGGAATTACACATACCCCTGACTACTGAGATTGAGTTACAGAGAACAGAAGAGAGCTACCCTATAGGCTTCCTGCCATCTTGACAAGAGCTGACCACCAGGTGGTGGATTCGCACCGGGAGCCTTTCGAGAAGCAGCTGAGCACTTAACAGTCATTCCAACAATGCTCCTTAAGGTCCCGGTAATTTGTAACTGACTGCACAGCACCCAACAACTGGTATGGTGTTGGAAGATAATATTGGCAGTACCACGGGTTGCCAGAAGAACAAACCAAGCTGTGTTGCAAGAAGTACAGCCAGAATGCTCCTTAGAAGCCAGGATGGCCAGATTTTGTCCCTCAGACTTTGGACATGTTATATAAGGAGGGACCAATTCTTGGGGAAGGACGGACATCATGCTTGGTAAAGTGGAAGGTCAGCAAAAAAAAGAGGAAGCCCGTGTACCCCCCCACAAAAAAAAAAAAAACAGATCGATTGATACAGCAGCAGCAAGACTAGGTTCAACAGAGAATGACGCATCCTGCTGACATGACGTGAGGGGAGATGCACAAGAGCACCCATGCTTGGCAGATAGCACCCATTTGATCTGGCTTCAATGGCTGGATGATCAGAACTCGACTAGAAGAAGAAAGAAGAGGGGAAAAATAAAAGAGTAATCTGCTACAATTTGATGAATTTGACCTACGCTTTTGGATGTAGTAGCTCCAAAGAGGGAATAAATCTCACCCCCTCAGTACAGAAATGAGCATCTTGGACATTGGCTACCCAAAATGGGGGACTACAAAGGCACAAAGTGACTGGCTTACAAGTTTTCAAGAGGGAATCTAGTTCCAGAGGGTGCAAGAGAAGGTAGACTCTCCACTAATGTTTTCCAATCTTTCTGGACAGGGCTGGTGAAAGGAGATGGGGACTAACTGTGAGGGTTGCAAATGTAAAGGTAGACGTTTTGTAACGAAAGGAGGGGAGTGGTTGATCTTGTAGTCCAGGAGCGGAGGACCCTGGGACCATCAAGGGAGAAGAAGAGAATAGTAGACCCTATCAAGAGAAGAGACAATGACATGGAGAGATGGAATGACTGGGGACTCTGGACTCTGGACCCAGGCTTGCAGGGTGTATCCTTTGGTTGTTTGAAAGGTTATATATTCCTGAGTGCTTCAGTGTACATTAAAAAAAAAACCCAACAAACCAGAGGGAATGGAAGCAAATGATGTTAAATTACTTTGTGTGGAGGGATTGTAATCATTGCAGTGAAACGAAATACGATAGGATGAATGGAAAGCTGATGTTCTCCCATGGGAACTATCACTCAATTCACAGTAAAAACTTAAAAAATGGGGGCGTGCTCAAATGTAGTAGCAACAAATGTGAGGTTGATGCAGAACCAGGCAGTATTTCCTTCTCTTGTGCATAGGGTCCCTGTAAGTCAGTACCAACTCGATGACACCTAACAACAAAACAACATTGTTAATGTATGAAGAAATTAAAGAATTCGCTATACTTTGATTTCTGCAGATTAAAGTATTTCTTGTTGTTATCATTAATTCTGTGACATTAGTAAGAATAATGCACTGGACTGCAAAGTCGGTTTACACCTCAAGGTCAATAGTTCAAGCCCACTAGTTGCTTCTGTACAGGGTTCTGTGGGTCGGAACCAACTTGACATCACTTAACTCCAACATAGGCAATCTAGGTATTTGTTTCTGTTTCATTGACTTGGTTACTGTTGAGTCTCCTTCAGTTCTTTCTTAAGATTTCTCTTCATTTCTATGTGATGTCCCTGGGTGTGGTTAATGCAATTGGCTGCTAACCCCCAAAAGGTTGGAGGCTCGTATCCACCCAGTGGTCAAAAGCCCTAGGGAGTACAGATCTGCTCTGACTCACAAGGGGGCGCCATGAGTCAGAGCCAATTCTGGCAACAATTAGATATGGTTTTCTGTGTACCTCTGTCAACGATTTTCCTTTTTAAAAAGAGTCATTGCATACCCACTTCTTACGTGCTTACCTCTAGACAAACCCTTATCATTTTATTCAGTCATGAGCATCCAACATCTAATAATTCTATTACGTCTTGTGTGTTCTTTATTTTCTTCAGCGTAACAAAAAGTAAAATGAAACACGTGTATTTTCTTTTAGACAGCAATGGAAGTAATGCAGTTCAGCAAGGAGGAAGTTCGGGAAATTTTGAGGTTGCTTGCTGGTATATTGCATCTTGGGAACATAGAATTTATCACTGCTGGTGGGGCGCAGGTTTCTTTCAAAACAGGTAAGATTGCCTTCCTCCCTCCCTATTTTCCTCTCCTTTCCTGGCTCCCTTTTCTTCCCGGCTCCCTCTTTTCCTCCTTCTCCCCTCCTCCAAAAGTCTGTTTTATGGGAAACTTTAAATACTAACACCATAGGTGACACAGTTCATTCTTGATTCAGCAAGTAACAACACAGATGAGACAGCAGTTTATGGTCTTCATTCTGCTTAAGAAAAAAGGATTTCACCCTAATGTTATGTGGAACCTGGAATGTTTGTTCATGAGCTGATGGTGGCGTTTCTCCCATCATTGGTCCCCAGAGTAATTTTTGTTATTGTATTATACCCAATTTACTGCGGCTCTCTGGAAGGCTGGGATTAAAAGAATAGAGCAGAGGGTTAAGAACTATCTAAATAAAGTTTTATTGGGACATACCCATTCAATGGTGGAAAGTGTGTGGCTATGGTCACATGACAACTGCGGAGTTGAGAGTACATGTGAAAAAGACTGTATGATCTGCAAGATCTGACACATTCAACATGTGACCCTTTATGGGACGTTTTCTGTCCCTGGGATAGAGCTACCAGCACTTCCTGTGTAGTCGTTAGGAAATGGCAGCCATAAGCCTATGAAAATGATGACTGGCAGATGGCGCCTCATTTTCACTAAGAAAGTACGAAACTGGTTCAAACGAGTGGAAATAATGAGCAACAAAGAACAGATGTAGGAAAAAAGATAGAATGAGTCAGCTGACAGTCAGGGGGTCTTAGAAAGTTTGTGGAAAGGTGAAATTGCAAGATAATGGATTTTTTACATTAATTTTTTGAAACCTCCTCGTACACATGGCGCTCTATCAACCGCCATTTTTTTGGGAGTGATTTCTGTGTCTTGTTATTGTTTTAATTTCTCGGACAGAAGCAAAATCTAAGGGCACAGAGGCTGGGGTGGGCTGGGTAAAGTTCAAAAAGACTCCAGAGGAACCTGTTTCTCTTCATCAGTAGTTCACAGATGTTTTGCTTCCAGGACCTCCTAATAGCCTTTTACTTTAAAAATTAATTTGATTTGATTTTGTTGTTGAGAACTTAACAGAGCAAAGCCAACACCAGCCAGTTCAGTAGTTCATGTGCAGGTGAGTGACAGAAATTAGGTTCTTCAAGTCATACAGCCATTGTCATTAGAATTGCCCCCTTCCACATTAACATAAACTCATTGCCCCCCCACCCCAAGAAGTTTCCTCTTTAATCTTTGCTGTTGTTCTTGTCAGTTTCACCCCATGTCAGTAAGTTCTTTAAGGAGCACAATGCTCAAAGAGACATGCTTCTCAAGTTAAATGATTGGTTTAAAGAAGACTGAAGTGGGGGATAATTTTGGTTTAAGGTCTAAAGATTATCTCAAGGCACTCCATTTGGGGATTTTTCTAGCCTCCATAGTTCCAGAAAGTCTAGGGAAATGCAAAACAGAGTCTCTCAATATTTTTTAATACCATAGAGGACCCTAGAGAACTTTTTGTATCTTTAGAGTATTGCTTATGATATTTTCCCATATTAGAGATTAAAATTTGATGCATTCAAAAATACTTAATTCATTTTTAAATAACTATAATAAACTGGCTTAAGTGTAGCAAATATTGTGAGGTTGGCTCAGAACCAGGCAGTGTTTCGTTCTGTTGTGCATGAGGTTGTTATGAGTCAGTACCGACTTGATGGCACCTAACAACAACATTAAGTTGTTTTTATAGTATAATAGCCGACAAGTTGTCATCGTTATATTTAATATGTAATGGTTAATTACAGATATGTTGGTATTATAATAAACTGTTGCATATTGAAAGGAGCTCTGGTAGCATAGTGGTTACGAATTGGGCTGCTAACCTCAAGGTTGGCAGTTCAAAACTACCAGCTGTTAAGCAGGAGAAAGATGAGGCTTTCTGCTCCCGTAAAGATTTGCAGCCTCGGAAACCCTGTGCAGGGTCACTATGAGTCAGAACCAACTCCAACCGCCATTTTTCTGGGAGTGATTTCTGTGTCTTGTTATTGTTTTAATTTCTCGGACAGAAGCAAAATCTAAGGGCACAGAAGCTGGGGTGGGCTGGGTAAAGTTCAAAAAGACTCCAGAGGAACAGCAACAACAATTGCATATTGAAACAAGTATGTTGTATGACTTTCAAAATCAGAAACAGTAGAAGTCTATGTTTACAGTGGTACAATAGTTATATGTACAGTTCTACAGTTCTGCTCATTTCTTTATCATCTAGTGTAGACTTTTAATATCTAGTATATGTAACTGGCTTCTGCATGATATATGTCGTGTAGCTTATGCAAAAAGTGAGTACCGTCTTTGTCTTAATGAAAATCGTTTGAACTCAGAACCCCTTGCAGGGCCTTGGGGACCATCACCAGACTGCACTTTGTCGAAACCCCAGGTTTTCTGCAGTTAACTTGGGGTTTACTAAGGAACTAACTGCGCTATAAAGGTCTGCCTGAAGTTCTCAGAACGTTCTTTGCTTCAAGGTTTCGCTGTGGTGTAGTTAGTGTGGAATCCACTAGGGCCCACACCTGTCTTCTCTTGTCCTTTTCTTGTCAGCTCTGGGCAGGTCTGCAGAGTTACTTGGGCTGGACTCGACGCAGCTCACGGACACGCTGACCCAGAGATCGATGGTCCTCAGGGGGGAAGTGATCCTCACACCTCTCAGCATCCAGCAGGTACAGCTTGACTGTCAACACGGGTTCACGTTGACGTGGCTTTGATCAGAGAAAGAAACTACAAGCAACCGCTCAGCTGAGGTTACACAAACACATCATAGAGATGCTAACAAAGAATGGTAGGGTGCTCAGATAAGCCTGCCAGTGAAGCACATACCTGTATTATATACAAGCCTCCTGTTTCTGCCACAGAAGAATTCGACCTAGAGACCATAATGATGGTGATTAAGAAATAAAATGACCTATAGATAACAAAGCATAAGGGAACATTATCTTCGTATAGGAGGAAATAGACGAGGCTTCTGCATAGTTTTATGAGTGAGTGCAGTGGGTTGTTTAAGAGGACCAATGGATTGTCTGACTCACTGTCTGTAATTAATAAGATCAGCTGCTAACCAACAGGTCGGTGGTTCAAACCCACCAACCACTCTACAGGAGAAAATCTGCTTCTATCAAGATTATAGCCAAGGAAGCCCAATGGGACAATTTACTCTGCCCTGTGTGTAGGGTGTGTGGGTGGGAATTGACCCAATAGCACATAACAGTTCTTGGGAAAGGTATTCGCTGTGCCTCAGTTTCCTCCTTTGTAAGATAAGAATAAATATCATCCCTATTTCAGATTGTGATAAGGATTTAAATATACACAGTAAACTCAATTAAACATTAGGTATAATATCCCATTTTTTCATTGCTAATTTTAAAATTTAAATTATTACCATTGTTATATAAACATTACCACAGGCTGTCATATTGTTTCTTGTTCTCCTCTGCTACTGCCTTGAGCCAGTTTATATGTGTTAACCCATTCTCGCTGCAGGATCAGCACTGGACTGTGAACCACAAGGTCAACAGTTCAAACCCACCAGCTGCTCCTTGGGAACCCTATACAGGGTCACTATGAGTCAGAACCAACTTGACAGCACTTAACAACAACAAACCATTCTAATGGACTCCTGGTGTGGCACTATACGATCAGCATCTGACTGTGAACCACAAGGTGGTGGTGGTTAAGTGCCATCAAGTTGGCTTCGACTCATAGCGATCCTGTGTAGGGTTTCCAAGGAGCAGCTAGTGACTTTGAACCACCAACCTTGTGTTTTAAACCGACCTCTTTGGTCTAATGCTTATCCTATAGTACCAGTCATGAGGTCAGCATCCCAAACCTACCGGCTACTCCTCAGAAACCCAGTAAGGTCGCTATGAGTTGAAACCAACTCAGTGGCATTTCATAACTCCTTCTAATAGGGAGCATAGTGACTCTAGGATAAGCACTGGACTGGGAACCACAAGGTCAGCAGTTCGAGCCCACCAGCTGCGCCACAGGAAAAAAGATGAGGTTTTCTGCTCCCACAAAGATTTACAGCCTCAGAAACCCTATACAGGGTCTCATGAGTCAATCAACTCAACTGTACTTAACAATAACAACTCCTTCTAATACCTGTTTTAGTTCAGATAGTAAAAATGAAGACAACTTACATGTATCAAGTCAAATATTAAAAAAAAAAAAATCCTGATAATGGAAAACGGAGATTTTCATTGTTTTAAACCTGAGAAAAGATATACTGGTCTATGTAGGTTCAGTTGCTTTCTGTTTTATAGCTCAACATGTAAAGTTGGATTTGTAAGTTGGATATTTAAAGGAATTTTTGATGAATCTTTATCATAAAATAAGTTGATTCCACTTGATCCTTTTTGTAGACAACTGTATGTTCCTAGGTAGTATTGATTTTACCACAAGCCTCTAGGTGTAATACAAACAAATAATGTACTTGGCTGCTAGCAGAAAGGGTGGAAGTTCAAATCCACCCAGAGGCACCTAGGAAGAAAGGTTTGGAGATCTACTTCCCCCCCAAAATTGGCCATTAAAAATCTGACGGAGCTCAGTCTACTCTAACACACATTGGGAGGTTACGAGGAGTCAGAAATGGTTCTTGATGATGATGTTGGGTGGTCAGTGAGTGCCTGTTTATGTTCAGTGGGCCCAGGATGGACCTGCCACCTGGGATGCCCCCGTCCACAGGGTCTTCAGAGTCCCCTCTCCCCACAGGCGGTGGACAGCAGGGACTCCTTGGCCATGGCACTTTATGCACGCTGCTTCGAGTGGGTGATTAAGAAGATCAACAGCAGGATCAAAGGCACAGATGACTTTAAATCCATTGGTATTCTGGACATCTTTGGATTCGAAAACTTCGAGGTATGCATCAGAGGAGCGCGGGGCATTAGAATGTTGTCTGTCCATCACTAGCTGCTATTAGACACATCTCAAAGCCCTGGTGTGGTGCTGTAGAATAAGCACTGGACTGCTACCCACAAGGTCAGTGATTCAAACCCACCAGCCGCTCCTCAGAAAGCCTATACAGGATCGCTATGAATTGGAACCAACTCAATAACACTCAACAACAAGAGACAAATCTCTGGAAAGAAGCATTGATCTTTTTCTCGGGGGATTACTTCTTAAACTTTCAAAATACCTTTTCTTCATCTTCATGCAAATTAGTGGGGTGCTAAAAATACCTGTTGAATGTTTTCTCCCCCTTTAGGTTAATCACTTTGAGCAGTTTAATATAAACTATGCAAACGAGAAACTTCAGGAATATTTCAACAAGCATATTTTTTCTTTAGAGCAACTAGAATATAGCAGGTAAGCACTCTTAGAATTCCATTTAAAAAAAATTTTTTTTTTTTTTAGTTGACAACAAAAGTAGGTCATTTGCAATCTGTGTTTGAACTGAACTTGCCCTTGTTGAATCTTTCTCCAGAGAAGGGCTAGTGTGGGAAGAAATGGACTGGTTAGACAATGGAGAATGCCTGGACTTGATTGAGAAGGTAAGGAGGGATTGTTGAAGAATGGGTAAAGTCCCGGGGGTGTCCAGCTGGGCTGATTCATACTTATGGGAACAAAATAGCGTGTTCGAACACATACATCAAAGATGGGAATGTTCCAAACACAATGGACCATTGGGAAACAGAAACATTAATGCACAAGGTTGAATTTCAATAGTTGGCCGTGCTGCAAATCTATTGTCTCATTGGGTTCTACGTGTTTCAGAAGTCAACTGGGTATGAATTGACTTCACCTAGATTTTTAACTTGGCACCAGTCACCTTTGTCAGTGCCAATAGATTTGGCACTTACAAATGACAAAATTGCAAGTAGGTTCAGATTTTCCTGTATTGATACGGAATTTGAATTCATTGGTTTCCTGTATAGTATCGTCTTCTCCGTTTCTCAGTTCAGGATATGACCACTCTTTAAACCACCCACTTGATACAGAATGAAGGAACTCTGGTGACGCTGTAGGAATAGTACTGGACTGCTAACCACAAGGTTGTCAGTTCAAACCCCACCAGCCTCTCCTCGGGAGAAAGATGAGGCTTTCTGCTCCCATAGAGATTTACAGCCTTGGAAACCCTATACAGGCTTGCTATGAGTCGGTGGCAGTGGGTTTTGATAGAAAATATGTAGAGCAAAAGCTTTGAAAGTTGGAAAGGTAGACATTTTGATTTTTTGTTCATTAGCCCTTTTGCTTTTTTTTTTCCTCCAGAAACTTGGTCTCCTGGCTCTCATCAATGAAGAAAGCCATTTTCCTCAAGCCACAGACAGCACCCTACTCGGGAAGTTACACAGTCAGCATGCTGTACGTCAAACCTTGGCAATACGTAACTGTCCTGAATAGCAAGCCTGTGGGGTTAAGATGACACGAAAGATAGTCCAGAGCTGCTGGGCCCGTGTGTGCCTCCCACATTTGACTTTTTTTTTTTTTTGGTCCACAAACCAAAGCCCTTTCCCTATTGTTAGAGCTAAATGGAAGTCAGCCAAAGCGTTATACGTGAGCGGCTTGCTAGAGTCTGCCTGAATTTCCTTTATGGGCACAGAATTTAGACTTTTTAACCTACAGCAGTGACACAAGGAGCCCTAGAGGTGTACTGGATTAACCACTGGGCTGTTAACTGCAAGGTCAGCAGTTCAAACCCACCAGCCGCTCCGTAGGAGGAAGATGAGGCTGTCTGCTTTCATAAAGTTTTCCAGCAGCGGTGGGGAATGTCTGACTTTATATGGCCTTGCAAAATCCTATGGTCTGGTCCTACCAAGGCAACCGCAGTTCCAGCCATCACATTAGGGGGTGAGTTAATTAAATGTTTGACCAAATATAGCGGGCTATGTTTTAAGTTGATAATTTTGTATGGCCCACGAATGATGTTATAAATTTGAGCAGAAAAAAGTTCCCCACCCCTGGTTTACAGTCTCAGAAACCCTGAACCAGGGTCATGTGAGTTGGAATTGGCTGGGTGTTAGTTGTTTCTTATGGCATGTTCCCAAGTGCCACGTTTTTCATAAAATGCACCAAGTGCTGTGTCTTGAGAACGGGGGAGTTTTGAGACTGTGTGCCCCATCCATCTGTTGTCTGTAGTTTTCACCGAAGGCCCATGGGAACTGGTCCATGAACTACGCTCTTCTCATTCGTTTCTAGAACAACCACTTTTACGTGAAGCCCAGAGTTGCAGTCAACAATTTTGGAGTGAAACACTATGCTGGAGAGGTAATTGGTTACACTTAACGTTTACTTGAGAAGAAATGTGCCTCATTTGATGGGCAGAGAAAGAGTCAGATTTATCCTAGTGATGATTTGAAATGGACCCAACTGATGCTTGTGCTTTTATGTTGTTCAACCCTCCCCTCTTTGTGTTTTTGTAAAATGAGGTGCACTACGATGTCCGGGGATTCTTGGAGAAGAACAGAGATACCTTTAGAGATGACCTTCTCAACCTGCTGAGGGAGAGCCGGTGAGTCCTAGATGTCTTAATGAAATCGCTCCAGAGAAGCAAAGTCACAGCTCAGACTCAAAGCGAGCATTCCGGACCAAACCGAACTGCCCATGGGGTTCCCAGGGTTGGAAATTGTTCTGGAAGCAGACTGCTCCATCTTTCTCCTAGGGAGCAGCTGGTGGGTTTGAACGGACTGACCTTTCAGTTGGTAGAATGTGCATAAGTCACTACACAACCAGGGCACCTTTGAGAAATCAAAAGCAAGTGAATCAATACTTGTGCCAATGTTTTGTTGTGTTTTTTTAATTCATAGATCTAGAAAACCTTCCTGTTACAGAAGAAACTTGTCTTGCTATTGTCTTCTCTAGAGTGTAGTTCATCAAGACAGTGACCCAAGAGCTAGAAAGTCATTGTGGCTGTAACTCTCCTGTAATGAGGAGCCTCCAGAGACCTTGATTGAAGCTGAATGAGTTCATTTAGTCTCTACAGCAAGTTTCTGAGAGTTTGGTACTATTTTCATCCTGTCATGCACTTGAGGAAACTGAGGCTTCAACCCTGCAACTGGTGGGCTGTTGGGCCTCATTTTGACCTGTGCTGCTTGGCTCATGAGCGTAAGATCTTAACCAGTATGACCCATTTCCTGCCCAGCAAGCTTACAGCTGAAATAAATTTTACAGTTAAGTGGATTTTAGACTTGGTTTTATAGTCCCTAACCCAGATGTCTCTAGTTAGTGTAGGAAGTTGCCAGAAAAAAGTAAACAAGAACCAACAGATCTGTGTTGGAAGAAGTGCAGCCAGAGCGCTCCTTGGAGGCCAGGATGGCCAAACTTCGTCTCTCATACTTCGGACATATTGTCAGCAGGGACCAGTCGCTGGAGAAGGATATCATGTTTGGTAAGATGGAGGGTCAGAGAAAAAGAGGAAGACCCCCAGCAAGATGGATTGACAAAGTGGAAGTATCGATGGACTCAAGCGTGGCAACCGTAGTGAGATTGGCCCAGGACTGGGCAGTGTTTCGTTCTGTTGTACATAGAGTTGCTATGAGTCAGTACCGACTCGATGGCACCTAACAACAACCACCACCCAGATGTCTCTAGTTAGTGTAGGAGATTTCCAGAAAAAATACAGAAGACTTAATTTAGCTAGAAACATAGATGTTGTTAGGTGCTATTGAGTTGGTTCCAACTCCTTCAGACCCTATGACCAACAAACCAAACACTGCCCTGTCCCTGCCATGCTCACAATTGTTGCTGTGTTTGAGCCCAGTATTGTAACCACTGGGTCAGTCTGTCTCGTTAAAGTGTCTTTCTCCTTTTCAATGACCCTCTCCTTTGCCAGGGCTTGGTCCCACCTGACAACATGTCCAAAGTTGATGAGACCAAGGCTCACCATTCTTGCTTGTAAGAAGCAGTCTGATTGTACTTTATCCAAGACAGATTTATTCACTCTTCTGACAATCCATGGCTTAGTCAGTGTTCTTCACAAACAGCATAATTCAAAGGCATCAGTTCTCTCGTCTTCCTTATTCACTGTCCGTGCATATGAGTGCACTGAAAATACCAAGCTTCATCACGTTCATCTTTGTCTTCAAGGTAGACTTGCCCAGTGCAATACATTCTTTGATTTCTTGACTGCTTCTTCCAATGGGTGTAGGTTTTAAGGATCCAAGTAAACTGAGATTCTTGACAACTCCAATCTTTTCTCCATTTATCATGATGTTGCTTGTCGGTCCAGTTGTGAGGATTTTTGTTTTCTTTAGGTTGAGTTGTTGTCCCTGATTTTCATCAGCTAGCAGGGTTGTATCGTTTGTATATCAGGTTCTTACTGAGCCGTCCCTTCAATGCTGGTGTCTCTTTCTGCTTCAGGTAGTTCAGCTTCTCTGATTATTTGTTCAGCTTACAAGTTAAGTAAGTTTGGTGAAAGGATACAACCCTGACACAGTCTGTTACTGATTTTAAAACAGAACTGCAGCCCCTTATTCTGTTCAAATGATAAATTTACACCATTAAATCAGACGGTCAGGAAGACACACAGAAAGCTCGTAATGATGATTTTAGCTGTTTGTATATATTAAGCTGGGAGCCTGTTGGTGGTGCTGATAATTAAAACATTACCCAGCTGTTCTCCGTGGGCTGGGAAAATGTCCCTGTGTTCACCCCCTCTGTTAGACCGCATGGACGTGGGGTGGAGAAGCAGCTCTAGAGTATCCGCTTAGAATATGAAGCATCCACATTTACATTCACGTTAATGGTCCCATGTGAAGCCTCTAGGAGCCCTGGTGGTGCCATGAGTTAAGCACCATTGGGCTGCCAAGGTGGGTGGTTCAAACCCCATATGAGAAAGATGAGGCCATCTGCTCTTGTAAAGATTCACAATCTGCAGTGCCTCATGGGGCAGTTCTGCTTGGTCCTGTGGGGTTGGTCTGAGTTGGAATCGATCCGCTGGGGCAGTTGTGCCTGGGGGTTGCCATACACCAGGGACTGACCGACTCAAAGGTTCGCTCTTTGTACCAACGTCAACGATTTTTGGTGTTGAAATGCGTTTTCAGGCCTGTACATAGGCATCACAAGGTCACCATGGCCAGTTTGTCTCCCGCAGCAGTCTGTGGGTCTTGCTTGAGGGGTCATGTCTAAATCCCAGCTGTGATCTTGAGCTGAGGCACTCCCTACAGGGAGAAGATCACAGGCTGTAGTTCAGCAAGACTAGGTCCCATCAGACTCCCCTGCTGTTGCTCCTTTCTGAATGGGGGTGAGCAACAAGTCAGTCTGCAGACTCTTTGATCTGCTCCCCTCTGACATCTGTGAGTGGGACCGAAGCTTGTCTCCCAGGAGCTCAAAGCACTTCCAAGAGTGAGTACCAAGCACAGAGCGGAACCAGAAATGACAGGCAGATAGCCTTCCCGTCTCCCAGGGACCGTGATACCGATTCTCCACACACACACCTTCTGCTCTGTGACCTAGAGATGAAAAAAGAAATCATTGAGAAGCTTTTTACCCTATTAATCGTGGTGATGGATTTTATAGAGCTTTTTAATAACAGCTCCTAACGTCTGTGTTCGCTACATGCAAGGCACCATTCCAACCTTTAGCTGGCATTTTCTCATGTCACTCACAGCAGCTGAAATAGGCGATGTTCTAAAATGACTCCCATTTCCCCAATTTAAAAAAGGACCACGGGGGCAGGGGAACAGGCTTGTAGAGTATACCCTTTGGTTGGTTGATGATGCATGGGAAGGGGATTGTAACCATGGCAATGAAAACGATATACGATAGGATGAATGTAAAACTAATGTTCTCCATGTACACTATCACATAATTCACAATAAAACATTAAAAAAATTTTTTTTTTGAAAAGGGCAAGGAGGCAGCAATGCCAGGATTTGAACCCTGGTCTGTCTCATTGCAGCGTAGGTGGTTTAGGGTAGCACCGCTCCATTGTTTACCTGCTTGGATCTTTGCAGCAGTTCTGTGAGTTGGCAAAGCACGTAACATCTCCCTTCTATATGCCAGAAGGGCTGTGGTGGCAACGTGACTAAAGCTCTCAGCTGCCAGCCAAAGGGTTAGCAGTTAAAACTCACCAGCGACTCCGCGGCAGAGGGCCATGGAGTCGGCTTCCCTAAAGATTGACAGCTATGGTAGCCTTCTGAGATCATTCTACTGTCCCCTACAGAGTCACTGAGCAGAGTGGACTCTTGTCACTGGATTTGGGGGTTGTCTGCAGACAGAGGAAACTCAGGCAGCACTTACTACTAAGTGGGATGTCTCAGAGTCTCCTCTGCCCCAAGCCCCAGCTCTGGGCAGGATTCAGGCACCACAGCGGCTTGGGCAGTTTTTCAATGCCTGCAGGTGTTTGGCAGTGGTTGGTTTGAAAGTTTTGGAGGCTGGCTGGGCTCCTCCAATCTTTGGTATATTGCTTTCAGTTATCAGTGGGAAAATGCATGATAATTATAGTCATTCAGTGTCTAATGATGGGGTGTGGATGCCTCAGGAGCCACCACCTTCTTCCTCTCCAGATTCGACTTTGTCTATGACCTATTTGAGCACGTTTCAAGCCGCAATAACCAGGACACCCTGAAATACGGAAGCAAACACCGGCGGCCCACCGTCAGTTCACAATTCAAGGTGAGTGTGTGCTGCGGGCCCTGCCAGGACCTTCCTTACGTGACTTTAAGGTTTGGACTTAGGAGCTGGCTGTCCACAAGGTCTATGAGAAGACCGTATTTTGTTTTCTTTTGTATCATGCCTTTAAGCTTGCCGCTGTTGTTAAGTGCTGTTGAGTCAGTTCTGGCTCATATCGACCCTGCATAACAGGGGTGGGGAATCTTTTTTCTGCCAAAATTTATAAGTTATCAACTTAAAAATTGGTCTGCTGCATTTGGTCAAACATTTAATTAACTCACCCCTACTGTGATGGATGGAGTCCTGGTGTGGTGCTGTGGGCTAAACTGCTAGACTGCAAAGTCATTTGAACTGCAAGGTCAGTGGTTCAAGCTCACCAGCTGCTCCTTGGAAACCCTATGCAGGGTTGCTCTGGGTCAGAATCAACTCAACGGCACTTCACAACAACAACATGATAGTTGATGGTAGTTATGTGCCGTGGAGTTGGTTCTGGCTCATAGCAACTCTAAAAAAATACAGGGTTTCCGAGGCTGTAAATCTTTGCAGGAGCAGAAAGCCTCATCTTTCTCTCGTGGAACGGCTGGTAGTTTTGAACTTCTGACCTTGAAGTTAGCAGCCCAACTTGTAACCACTATGCTATCAGAGTCATTTGAACTGCAAGGTTGGTGGTTCAAGCTCACCAGCTGCTCCTTGGAAACCCTATACAGGGTCGCTATGGATCGGAATCGATTTGACAGCACTTCACAACGTGATAGCTAGAACTGCAATTGCCTTGGAAGAGCCAGACCAAATGATTTTTGCAGGCCCTATGTGACCCGTGGGCCAGATATTCCCCAACCCTGCTGTGTAGGGTTTCCAAGGAGCAACTGGTAGGTCTGAACTGCCGACCTTGTAATGAGTTCAGTGCTAATTCTACAGCTCCACACCATGTTGTTGTTAAGTGACATCAAGTTGATTCTGACCCATAGCGACCCTGTATAGGGTTTCCAAGGAGCAGCTGGTGAGCTTGGACCACTGACCTTGCAGTTCAAATGACTTTGCAGTATGACGCAGTAGCCCACAGCATCCCACCAGGACTCCTCAGCTCTACACCAATAGCACTACAGAAATGAAGCAAATATCATTTTTCCAATTCAGGTAGTAATATACAGATCATTTTATTATTTTTTTAAATAAGAAATCACACAGTCATTCTGTGTCAAGAAAGGCTAGTTTTTGGGCTTACGTGAAAATAGGGACTATTTCTTTCTATGTCTTTGTTGTTGTTGTGAAGTGCTGTCGAGTTGGTTACGACCCATAGCAACCCTGTATAGGGTTTCGGAGGAGCAGCTGGTGAGCTTGAACTGCCAACCTTGCAGTTCAAATGGCTTTGTAGTCTGGCACATTAACCCACAGCGCCACACCAGGACCTATGTTGTGGTGTTTGCATATTTCCTAGCTATGTTTGTGTGATATCATGACAAGGAATAATGACCCAGGGTCTGCTTAACCAAAACTGATGCTGCTTGCTTTGTACATGCCCTGGCATTTAGGGGAAATAAGGAACATTCTGCTTTTTTGTTTGTTTGTTTTACTTGTGGCTAGAGTGAAGATTTATAGAGCAGGTCATCGTTTTATATTTTTAAAAAATCATACACTTTTTTCTTCTTAATGATTTCATCCCCCTGAGTGGAACATTCTGATTTACACTCCAAGTATGAAAGCAGTGTGTGTTTACAGGTAGAGCACATGTAGGTAGATCATTCATCTAATTTATGTGCTCTGTTTTACCCTCGTGAATAAATCCTGCTGTGAAGGGGAAATGGAAGTTGTTCGGTTGGTGGGCATTTATTAAGTCTGCCTTTGGCGAGGTTTCTTCCATTTATCTATTCTCATTTGAATGTGTGGGGCTGGGTTCAGTGGGAGGTCTTTTGTGCAGTGTGATTGGAGATGAACCAACTACACACCAACATGGTGGACAGAACCAGGTACCGCTATATGAAGGGCAGATTCAACCCAGATAGACAGTAACAATAGCTCTTATTTAGCGCCGCTCCGCGGGAGAAAGATGAGGCTTTCTACTCCCGTAAAGATTTACACCCTCAGAAACCCTATACAGGGTCGCTATGGGTCGGACCCGACTCGATGGCACTTAACAACAACAGCAACAACAAATAGGAGCTCTGGTAGCGTAGTGGTTACGAATTGGGCTGTGAACCACAAGGTCAACAGTTTGAAACTACCAGCCGCTCCGCAGGAGAAAGATGAGGCTTTCTGCTCCCATAAAGATTAACAGCCTTGGAAACCCTGTACAGGGTCGCTATGGGTCAGAACCAACCCGACGGCACTTAACAACAACAACAACATTATGTGCCAGACATTGGACAGATCCCTTTTCTCTACATGACCTGGTCACTCCTCACACAAACCTGATGAGTACATGTTATTGCTCGCATTTTACAGATGAGGAAGTTGAGGTTTAGAGAAGTAGAGATTTGAACCTAGGTTTGTGTAACTCTAAAAGCCTAGGCTCTTACGCTCCCAATGGAAGCATTTTCTAAAACACCATTGTTGCTTAGAGGTAGATGTCTTGAAAGACTTCATGGACTTGTGGGATTTAAATTGGACTAGAAAACAAAGTGGAAAATGGTGGGTGGCCTTCTACATAGAGACAACAAGGGTAGCAGAAGGGTCCTAAGAGAGGGATGTACATCTTGTGTTCTCTGGAGGGCAGAGACAGGAGACCTTGTGTGAAATTGAGTTGGCTTCACTCTAGGAAGGATCCCAGGGTGTTTTGTCTTAAGTGAGAAATCCACATGTTTTCTGAGCAGAGAAGCAGTTGCTCAGCAGAGTATTAAAGACAATTCGAGTTTCTTCAGTAACAAAATCATAAGGAAAGGAGAGGCGGAGGGAAAACCCAATGAAATAGAAGGCACAAAATTGACACATCAACCATTTGCAATCCCTTATTGCTTCTGATTCAAAGAACACACTGTGTTCAAAAGTGTGAAATTTGTAGCGTTTGTACTAGAAAATGATAGTATTGATCATAAGGAATTACTGTTAGGTCGCCATAGGCCCACCATGACTTTGTCCTCATGTGCGTTAATGTGTGTAGTAGTGTTTACCCTTTACCCATAGCATGCGGATACTGGCAGACGGCATAATGCAATGTCTGCGATTGGCTTTTCTGTGAGAGTGGCCACAGTGTGTATTGGAGATGGGGTCAGGTGCATTGAGGTAAACCATTCGCTGAAGCCGAAGATAAGGGCATCCTCAGCTTTTGTCTACTTCACTGGTAGTTATCTGCCGTGGAGTCAGTTTCAACTCATAACGGCTCAGTATAGGGTTTGCAATGCTGTGAATCTTTATGGGTGCAGAAAGCCTCATCTTTCTCCCTTGGAATTCCTGGTAGATGTGAACTGCTGGCATTGCAGTTAGCAACCTATCTCGTAATCCACTCTGCTTGCTCAATGGTAAAAGTGTCCAGAATTAAAAATAAATAACAAAAAGGAAGACCAAAAATAAAACAGTGTTTCCGATGATTGATGTAGATGCCTGGTGGTTTGAAGGTAAAAAGTGAAGGATTGTAGCACAAAGAACAATGAATCACTGGTATTTAACAAACAGCAACAGTGACGAGGCATGTTTGTCATTGAATTGATTCTGATTCAAGACTCATGGTGACCACCATGTGTCAGAGTAGCTCTGAGCTACACAGGGTTTTCAGTGGCTGATGTTTCAGAAGTCAGTCTCCACGCCATTCTTCCTAGCTAGCTCTGGCGGACTTGAGCCACCAAGCGTTCAGTAAGCAGCTTAACCTTTTGGGCCACCCAGGGACCCCAGAGCACTAGTGTAAGCTGTCACGTGGATGGAAATTGTGAATTAGGAGGAGTAAGCACAACAAGAGAGCAAATAGTTTCCAGTGTCTGGATGAAAGATGTTTTTCATTTGTAGCAGAATGGTTTTTAAAAGTGATACGAAGACAAAGAAGTGGTGAATTTTTTTTTTTTGTATATTGTCAAATCATTTCAATCATAATTGTCAGCTCAGAATAACATGGTCAAAAAGGAAAAGCTCTTCCAAATCCTATGATTTACTTTGTTTGGTTGTATGATAGTTTTTTTCTAACAAGTGCCGTAGATGCTGAGAAATGTTAAGGATGGCATACTAAGAGACTAAATCAACATCTACTTTTTCCTTTCTAATAGGACTCGCTGCATTCCTTAATGGGCACGCTAAGCTCCTCAAATCCTTTCTTTGTTCGCTGTATCAAGCCAAACATGCAGAAGGTAAGGTTTCCACAGTCGTGGCTGAGGGCGCGTCAACAAAGACAAGGCTTTCTGGGGGTGGTTACTCTCTCTCGGATTTGGTTTCTCCTAAGTCCTTTCATTGAAGATGCTGGAAAAGTATCTGCCATTATGATAATGGAAAATTCCCTTTGTCCCTTGGGCCTGTTAGTGTGCTTTTGAGTGACATCACTGAGCTTCAGAATGCTGTTGTGGATTAGAGCATCATGAAGTTCTCGGATTTCGTAGAACGTTCAGTACGAAACCCGTGGGCCCACCTTTCCAGAAAGAATAGTTGCTGTGTTCTTTCTTCTTATCCTGTGGTTGATTTTTTTTTGGTTTGTTTTGTTCTTTGCTTTTAAATATGATAAAAATTGTACTTTTATGCTGGACTTTGCGTGTTGTAATGAGCTGGTTATTTGCTGTCTAGTGGGTTATGTACGACCCACCTCAACTCTATATAGGGTTTCCGAGGAGTGGCTGGTGAGCTTGAACCACCTGCATTTCAGTTCAAACTAACTTTGCAGTCCAGCACATTGACCCACAGCGCCACACCAATTGCTTTGGTTATAAATAACTAGAAAACTCACGCAAGGCTGTTCCAGTTGCTTTGGTTATAAATAACTAGAAAACTCACGCAAGGCTGTTGTGAATCTTCATGTACCTCTGGCCTCTGGTTTAAACTTTCCACTGCTGCGTTCTGATTGGAAACATGTCAGTTTAAAAAGAGAAATGATAAACGATCCAAACAAACAAAATTTAGTGTCAGATATACGCAATTGGCTGAATTCTAGACTCAGTGGGCACGTTGCCTTAAAATGTTAGAAAGTTGAAATTGTTTTGATATGAAGAGTCCCTTAATGTTCCTGGAGTAGAAGCTGCCCTCATAAGAAATGTGACCCAAATATGTTTCCCATGAGATTTGTATATCTTCTCGTCATTTTGACTCAATATCAAAAGTGTTTCCTCACCATTAGTCTAACAACATTTCTTTACAAGACTCGACATTTGTTTACCATATGGAATGTTCTGGCTTCTAGAAAGGTGAACTTCTATACATCTTAAATCAAGAGCAGCCTGTTTAGTGTGTTGCCCTACTGTGGTCATAATTAGGCATTTATTTGACATAAATGGTGGCACGTAGGAGAGAGAGACCCATGACAATTTAATTTAACGTTTCTCTGTTTTAGTAGTGTGAAAAGCACCCATTTTTACATAAAAATGACAACAGCAGCATTACATAGCTTTTTTAGCAAAATGTAGGGAATTAATAGAACATCTCTCTCTTTATCAATCTGTCATATAAATTGGTTATCTTCCACTTGCTGTCCTTCATAGGACCCAAGGGACAGTGTTCACAAAGCCGTAACAGTGGGCAGTCAGCTCTTGTACATGCTTCTTGTTGTTGTTAAGGGCTGTTGAGTACGTTCCAACCCACAGCAACCCTGTATAGGGTTTCTGAGGAGTGGCTGGTGGGGAGTTTGAACCGACGACCTCATGGTTCAAACTGACCTTGTGGTCCAGTGCATTATCCTGCAGTACCACACCAGGATTCCTGGACACGCTTGATGGTGGTGGTTATGTGCCATGGAGTTGGGCTGTAAATCTTTACAGGAGCAGAAAGTGTCATCTTTCTCCAGTGGAACGGCTGGTAGTTTCGAACTGCTGACCAACTCGTAACAACTGCGCTAACAGAACTCCTTTGTATGCGTCCATGCTTAGGAGCTGTTAAACCATTCTGAATTTTTCTGCCCTCTTTTTACAAAGGGGAATAAATGTGATGATAGAAGCATCGTATTTTAGACTTCAAAATGGCACCGTTTTTTTCTCACTTGAAAACCTGGGTTTTACGGTGTGTCCTGAAGTTCACAACAGGCCATAGTATGGTTAGAGGTTCCTTTTTTAGTGGGCGTCACTTCACATGTGTAGAGACATTGTTGTCTTGTTGCAGTTGTTAAATGTTGTCAAGTCGGTCCCAACCCTGTGTAGGATTTCCGAGGATTGACTGCTGAGTTTGAACGCTCGTCCTCTGGTGAGCAGTCCAGTGCTTGTCCTACAGCACCACCCCAGGACTCTTAGGTTCAATGAAACAAGGAACCAGGTCAACCTGCCAGGACTGTCTTAAGGGTTGAAGTTTGTGTTAAAACAACTCCATCGCCCATGGTTTTGGTGTCTTCCCAGGGGAATGTGGAGTTCATTTTCTTCTCAATTGTCACAGCCTCTGAACAGCAGCCAGACAAATATTAAAGCAATTACTTCTTTATGATGTTTATTTTTCCACACAGATTTGATGGTTCCTAATTGGCTTGAATTTACATTTTTTTAAATAAGCCAACTCAATTTTTTATTTTCATTTGTGCTGACTTCTCACAGTCTGTGACAAACCGTAATTAATAACACAGTAAGAGATGGACTGAGGAAGACTTTGAAAAACAGTCTCGGTGCCTCTTCATTTTCTTTCTTTTAATTGTGGTAAAATGATATACACCGTGAAGTTTGCCACATTAACCACTTTGAAGTACATCTTGTTGGAATTGATTACACTGACAATGTGTTCAACCTTCACCACTTTCTGTTTCCAAAACTTCTCATGACCCAAACAACTAAGTCATAATTCCTACTGCGCCCTAGCCTTGGAAACTGCTAAGCTGCTTTGTCTCTATGAATTTGCCTATTTTAGATATTCATATAAGTGGGATCATGTGATGTTTATCCTTTTGTGTGTGGCTGATTTCACTCAGCAGATGTATTCATGCATGTGTGCACCACATTTTGTTTATCCATTCAACTGCTGTGGATACCGGGTCATTTCCACCTGTGGGCCTTTGGGAGTAATGCAGTGAACATCTGTGCAAGTCCCTGCATCCAGTTCTTTGGGGTTTATACCTGGGAGTGGAATTGCTAGGTCACATGCTGTTGGAACCATTCTGAAGACACCCATAAAGTGAAGGCAAAGGCACAAGAGCTGACTTGTCTGAGGTCCGAGATGTTGGTTTGAGTTTAAGTGTAAAGAAGAAATTGATGGAGTCCTGGTGTGCCGCTAAGCCAGACTACAAAGCCATTTGAACTGCAAGGTTGGCGGTTCAAGCTCACCAGTCACTCCTCAGAAACCCTATACAGGGTCACTATGGGTCAGAACCGACTCGACGGCATTTAACAACAATAACTGTTGATTTGATTCTGTGTGAACTGGCATTGCAAGGCAGTGTGCCATTGATTCGTAGTGACACCCTAGATGACAGAGTAGCCCTGTCTCATAGAGATTTCTGGGCTGTAATCTCTATGGGAACAGGTCTTTTCTCCCATGGAGCAGCGGGTACATTTGAGCTGCTGCCTGGCAGCTGAGTGCTTAACCACTGTGCTATCAGGACTTGGGAATATTGAGTCATGTCTCACTCCGGTCCCATTGTGCCCTGGTGTGGCACTGAAGGGTAATCACTGGACCGTACGTCAGTCGGTTTGAACTACAAGGTCGGTGGATCAAACTCACCAGCCACGCTTGGAAACCCTCTGCCAGAATCGACTTGACAGCAAACTAAATAGCATGTTGGGAATTTGAAAAGGGCAACATTTCAGTGCTTGGAAGTGGTTTAGTTACTGAGGTGTCCTTTAGCATTTTCAGCAAAAATGGTGGCTACTGAAAAGCCCCAAACCTCCCCAGGAGATTTCAGTGTCATCAGGATTGCACCATACACATATACACACAAACAGTGTCTCCTCATGTGATCCCTCCATTTAGAATTATAGCAAATGAGTTCTAGTCAGAAAAGTCTCATTAGCATTCCTCCAATAAAAAAAACCCCAGGAGGTTCCCTAAATACCGGAAGAAGCTGATAACATCAGGAGCAGCTTCCCAGGTGTGAGAACTGGATGTCCCTCCTCCAAGTACCCATTGTGAGGTCAAGGCCCTTTCCCACAGAGACTGCCAAGTCTGGCCCCATGGAACACGCTGGCCTGATCTCCAGGCTGCTCTGGCTGTGCAGTGGGGGCACTCAGCTCATGGGGTAGGTGTCCTGAGGACTCTGGCTCTGGGGAAAAACAATCCTTGTTTCTAGCAGCAGTGTCTTTACATTGTAAATCTGAAATAATAATATTCACAAAGCTTCTCCAAAAAAGGCACACAGCGGGCACCTCAGTTACCCCAGGACTGGCAGCAGCTGGTGCTAGAAAGGCTTCTGGGAGAGGCAGGAGGAAGGAAGAGGAGAGGAAGAGTTTCCACGGAGGGGAGGCTGGGAAGCAGGACCCATAAGGGAGCAGCCGTGAGCTCTGTGAGGTGACCTGCAGTATCGTCTACAGGAAACAAAACACCCAGGAATCATGCAGAGCAGGCAACACCATGCCCCTAGAATGGAAAATACCCACCAGTGGGTAGCTCTCAAGAGCAAACAGTCTTTTCTCATAGTTGTCTAAATCGTGGGCTTAGCCGTGTCGAGATTTCGTCTGTGCGCCTTTCCCTCAGATTCCGGTGTTGTTTAGAAATCTCTGGCGTTCTTTGTTGAGAGGTGGGGCCTCACCTGGCCCTCTGCCTGCCCTAGAGTGTCCTGCTGTCTTTCGACAATGCCACCCTGAGTGATTAGGTGGAAGAAATCCAGGCCACTGTGACATGACTTCATTGTTTTGCTGATGTTGTTAGGTCCTATTGAGTCCACCTACAACTGACAGTGACCCTGTGTGAGAGAACACAACTGGCCATTGTGCTCTCTAGGCTGGAGTCTCTACAGAAGCGGATGGCCACATGTTTCTCCAGAGGAGAGTTGGAGCCGGTTAGTTGTACTTACCAGAAGAACCAGGGCTCCTCTTGTTGGGATGTGCTGTCGAGGTGGTTCCAATACATGGCCACCCTGTATAGGGTTAACCAGGAGAGGCTGGTGAGTTTGAACCATTGACCTTGCAGTTCAAATCAACCTACAGCATCACACATCACAAAACATATTTCCAAAGAGGATTATAGTCACAGGTACAAAGCTGATTCTTCAGTACACATTATTTTTTGTTGTTGTCGA